CTGCGGCAACACAAAGCGAACAACGAGAAATAGGCAGAATGTTCGAAGAATGACGTAGAATGTTCCACAAAGAGAAACGTCAAGTTGGATGAACACTGCGAACAGCGAGAGAAAGAGAATGAGCAATAAACTTCAGAATGTTCTAGAGTTGCCATAAGTGCCAGCGCAGGTATATAAGGGCGCCGCCACCGCGAGGTGAGGGAGTTACAAGTCAGCAAGCTACAAGTAAAGTGAGCGGAGAATCGAGTTGCGAATAAGCAAGCTATAAGTTTAATTGTGTTAACAAGTAGTAAAGCGTTGTTATTGCTTTAACAAGTATTGTAAAGTGTTTTTACTGTATTAGCAAGTATTGTAAATTGTTTGTTGTACAATAAAGTTAATTGTACTACAATTCGGTCATCGTTAGCATTTATTTAACAATCCAGCGATACGAGCCGGAGTATATTTGGGTAATCCCTCAAGGTTTCGAGGATAATCGTAACACTATCAATTGACACAGGCCCAAATTTTAAAAGTCTGGTAACTCCCGATTTTGGGACATTTTGGAATAGCGAATTCGCAATACGTTGTCATCGTTTCCCAAAGTTAATTTTATTAACAAAATGTTTACTTTATGGACTCTTGTCGAGGCATCTTTACTGTGCTTAAATGCAGTGTGTGTGTTACATGAGGAGCGCTTTCTTGCGAAATGTGAGTAAATCTCAACTGACGTGTTCATTTTGATTGAATCTTTCTTTTAGTTGGCTGGGGTGCGCAAGCAGCCAATATGCAAGATTTCGGACAACCTACGGCGAAGGCACAGGTTCTTAACTTGATCCGCTCAATTCGTACCGTGGCAAAAAGTAAGTTTTCGCAAAATTTGATCACACAAAGTTCATTTTCACATTTTCTTTCTAGTACCACTTATATTCCTCAACATTCTTGCCATACTCATTAAATTGATACTTGGATAGGGGAGAACTTTACATTAATTTTACTACGTACATCTAAAATGTTATATTAAATTAAAAAAGTTTTAATGCATTGTTGATTTCCGCTGAAGGACTGATTTCACACGGTTTTCAAGAGCAATGCTATAAGCATCTAATTTATAGGCGGCAGCCTCCAATTTGTCAACTGTATCCGATATTTCATCGATTTGTTTCATGAGGGGAACCTTGGAGAATAGAAATGTTTTCGTTAGAATAATTTAAACATTAAATTCGTTTACAAATACCAGTTGCTGAAACTTTATGCTTAATTCGTTTGTAGATACGTTTAAATTCTCAGCTATTTGGTGCATATCCGAATACTTGGCCACCGTAGCTTTATTCAT